GCTTTATAGTTCTCGCCCACATTTCTTTGTCCTTTGTTTTTTGTATTGTTTTATTATTTTTATTTAAACTATTTTAACCATTTGCCTGCCTTATTTCACTACCACATTTGTTAAGTATCCTAATCAATTTCTTTAACGCTAAACTTTTGTCATTCTTGTGTGACGCACTTTGGGACGTATCAAGAATTTGAATTTGCCTTCATTGATCTTTATGCGCCCCTCACGCCTTAATTGCTATGACAGCAGATCCTCAGAGTCCAAAGCCTCCTCTGGTGGATTCTTCTTCACGCAATCTCTGACGCCATTCAATATGATTGTGATTCGTCGATCGAGCGCTTTTAGGTGTGGTTCCCAGAGTATTGGTCGTATTGGGTCGACGGACATGGATTCGCGCATTATTTCGGATAACGGTTTGGCACCATTGTGGAAGCTGTGGAAATAAAATGAGAATGTATGGAGTTTAGTGAGTGCAATGAGAAAAACTACTTAAGCAGTGAGACGTTTTAATCAGCATAAATTATCATAAATAACGGTGGTTTTCTATATATCTGCCGTAGAGACCTGATACTCGAAGGTAAACGACAAGCAAGGATTATCGCAGATTCTACCCCTAAAAGTAAGAAATATTGGGGCAGCTACGATCGTAACGATGTTGATCAAATTTTGTGTGCGATCGTAAGTTGGCCGAGTCTAAAACAGATAATAGTTTTCTTCCAGAGTGCGGACTACGGATCGATTTATTCCAAAAAATCGTATTTCATACGTCATTACCGATCGGATCTGACTGACACATTATACTCAAAAGCAGCTATAGATTTCAGCTAACTGATCAGTGTAGAGTTTGCAAGCGAAATCGGGGAAGCAATCAAGTAAGCCATAGACCTCCTTTCTGAAGAGAAGAGAACTTCGGTTTATTGGATAAGCTATGCCTTCAGGCCGTAGGTAGTGTAAGAAATTAATAAGCTTATATAAAAGATTGGAAAAGAAAATGTTCTATCTACTCAGCGAGCTTAACTTTCCCATCCCTTTGAGATCATCTAGACACTTTAAGCCCCGTTAAAGTGTTCATGCAAAAACGATTTTGAAAAGCACGATCCATTTGGAGGTTTATGCAACGATTTTAAATATTCATTCCACCAGCATTGACTCTCTTTTCTGTTGCGAAACCTTTCAGTAAGTACTGTGAGCTTTAAAAAATTCAGTGTTTTCCTTCATCTTCATCGGTTTATTGGATTTTTGGATTATCCTTCGGACACGTCCGTCGCTCGGTTGGGTGGGAGATAGCTATAGCTTAAGTATATAAGACTTGACTCATTTCACGTCGAGATCTTAAATTGAAAGTGTTCAAAATATAGCTCGTACGAGAATTGAAACCCCTCAACCTTCCCAAGTTGTATCGCTTTGCTCTATGGGCTCTTGTAGAGTTCCAAGAAGATACGACGTTTTGAAGCCAAATTTTGTGGAACGATGAAGTTCATTTCTGGCAAAATAGGTATATAAACAAGCAAGTCCAGATAAAACAATGGTTTAGTGTGGTTTGTGGGGCGGTAGAGTCATCGAATTATAATTCTTCAAAAACTATGCTTGTAACCGTCAATGGCGACCATTATCACGCCTTGATAACCAACTATATGATGCCTGAACTTGAAGCTCGTGATCTCAGCGACATTTCGTTTCAAGAAAACGATGCCCCTTCGCACATATCGCATCAATTAATGGATTTATTGAGAGAATACTTTGGTGAGAACATAATTTCACGTTTTGAGACCGGTCGATTGGCTAAAAAAATAGTGTGAAAACACTCCGTTAGACTTTTTCTGTGGGATATGCAAAGTCTAAAGTCTAAGCGAATAATATTGCTTCGGTTCAACTCTTGGAGCCAAACATCACGCGTTTCATTCGCCAGTTACGCATCCAAATGCTCGAACGAACCATGTAAAATTGGACCCAACGAATATACCAGCTATGACGTAGCCGCATTCAATATTTGAAAGAGATATTCTTATAAAAAATAAATGTCAAAACATGATCTTTCGAATGATAATAAACATTTCCCATTAAATTTGAATTTTCTGTATTTTTTTCTTTAAACAAGTAGGGAACCTCGAAATAGATCACTCTTTATAAGAAAATCCTGTGATACACAATTAAATTTCTGGAGACCTAAACTTTGGCGTAGAAGTAAAACAGTAAAAAAAGAAACATTATTTATTAAAAAATAAACAAAAATCTTTTAATTTACGCACATTTACGTCTCGAATGAAAGGAGAATATAAACGAGAAACCAAGAAATGTCAAAAAATTCATGTTTAAACTTTTAAATATACTGGCATATATAATTTTTTCACATTTTACTCACTCCAATATCTTTTTCAGCGTTGATGTGCGTATCATGCAACACTGTAATAACGGCGCCAGTATGGTTAGTTCATCGTGGAAAGGTTTGCCAAAACCACGTCCATGATCCAAGTGCAGCGTAAATGTGTCATTGCCGAATATTCTGCAAACAAAATAAGAATTCAATTTGAATTAAAATTATACAAAAACTATTGAATTAAAATAAAAATATTTACGAAATTTATTTATTTAATTTTTAATGGAAATATTTTTTTGTGTATACCAGGTATCGATCCCTTATAATAATTTGGGTTTATACGCGCAAGTGGTTTTTTGCTTAGATTAAAGTAAGCACAACTTTTTATTCCAGGATATTGGAAATAACCTTTTTAAACATATTGAACGACCTTTATGAAATGTTTTGTCTGTGTTCAAGCTTATTCGGGATTAATTTGAAATGCCTTTTTTTCAAAAAAATTGTGCTAAGAACCGCTCAATTCGAAAGATTTTTATTTATGGTTAGATTTCCTTTAAATTCTCTGCTTCCAAATAGTGAGCTAGATACAACTTTATTGAAACAAAAAATATTTCAGATTCGACTTTCCTAAGAAATGAACCAAGAAGAAAAATAATATTTTGTATTAGTTGAACTTTGAACGTTAAGAACTTTGTTTCGTGTATAAAATAGCTCATTTAGGCAGTATACACGGTGTGTCCCAAAAATAACCGAACTTTTTGGATATAAAATAAAATACACATTATATTATTAATTATTTATTCAAAATAGCTTCCATTTGACTCAACACAACGTTTGGAACGATCAACCAGCGCATGCATAAATTTTTTTATGTCATTTATAGAAATGTTCCTCAGTACCTTGGTTACGGCTGCTTGAATGGCTGGGATATCTTTATAAAATGCTCCCTTTATCTTGATTTTCAGTTTTGGAAATAAAAAATAGTTACATGGTGATAGATCAGGCGAATACGGATGATGGTCGATGAGAGAAATCCCTGTTTTCATTAAAAATTCGAGCGATTTTTTGGTCGTCATTTAATTCTTGTGGAACAAATCGCGCACAGACCTTTCTTTACTCCAAATCTTCAGTTAAAATTATCCAAATAGTGTTTTTACTCGTATTCAATTCCTCAGCCAACATTCTCGTAGTTAAATTTTGCTTCGACACCAATGATTTCACGGACTTTTTCCACTAGTTCAGCACGATTACTAGTTTCTGGACGTCCTGCTCTAGGGTCGTCATTTTACGACTCATACAATCATCACAGTAAACTTTTTTCATTAATTTATTTTCAAGTTTGACACAAAATTTTATAGTTGCTCTTTGTTCCATTTTATTTTTGAACCATTAGCACACTTTTGGTTTTATTGAAATGGCTGTCACTTTTACATCTGTCATCCGACTTACATGATGTTAGGTGCGTTTGAAAGAGGATGAATAAATCTTTTTAATGTTGCAATTTTCACAAGATGGCGCTGTATGTTGTGTTTAAGTATAAAGTTCGGTTATTTTTGGGACACACGTGTAAACGCCAAGTAGATCTCTAGACAACTGCTCAAATATTGGTTTGAAATTTAGTATTTCCTGTAGTTTTTATGTAAAAGCAAAGCAAAAAGTTCTAAGAAAAAACACAAAATTTTTCTTCAAAACAATCGAAAAAGCACGAAAGCTCTAAAGCTCATTGCACGAACTGCTCAAAAATGTTCGAACAAAGTCTTGAACACTTACTTGATCAAAGCGAAGAAAGCCTCAAAAGCAACTACGTTATCTTATTTGAAAATTTTTAAGAAACTCAAGCAGCTCAAACGAACTTTATATTTAATAAAATTTAAAAAAGTACCGCGGTAATGATTACAAAAGTATTTATCACAGTAGTTTTAAGATAAATATTAAAATTTTGTATATATTTCTAAATACATGATACATGGCTTTTGGTAGGAAAAAAATATTTTAAATAAAAAGGTTTAAAAATCAACGTTGAAGTTTACGAAGAACCCCCTAGTTTAACCGCGCAATTTCGTTTAACACCACAGTCTTAAGAGATAGGAGTGCCTTTGCCTAAGTCAAAAGATGTATTTAAAGTCTCTTACATAACTTAGGCCTATATTTCGACATGCTTCGCTGATTTGCGATACAAATGACCAAGCTTGAGAAATTTCCAATGGGTCTCTAGGTTAAACTCTTCTAATTATGTTAACTAGAGTCCCAGAACATCGTAATCAAGCTTCTCAAGGGAACGGATACCAGTGCATAGCTTTTGATTGGAATAAGCTTAAATGTTCCAACTGATCTATCCAGATACTTAGGTTTTAGCTTGATTTCTCGGTCTGACTTCTCAGCATTGCGACAGCTACTATGCCTTCAATCAATAATTAACTGCTAAAAGTTTTGAATTACTAGATAATGAAACAGGTAATAACCAGCCGGAGCCAGGTCCGGCTGTAAGGTGTATATTCAAAATATCGAAGCGCATCCTATGCATGGCCTCAAACCCGACGCAACTCTTGTGGATGGACGCGTTGTCGGGCAACATCTTTTGTAAATTTTCACAATTTCCACTTTTTTGACTTCTTTTAACCGCCCCAAGTAGTCCCCAGTTATAGAAACACATTAATCTTTATAATCGTACAATAAATAATATTCGTTCCGAGTCCAAAAACACTGTTGCCGGGAGACTCATAGCACTTTTTATACCACTGTTTCGAGCCTTGTTTCAGCTCAGATTCATAATGATAAGCCCAAATTTCGTCACAATTCAACTCAATGCACAATTAATCCTTTCATTGCAGAGATCCAAAAAAATACACGTGTATACTCTCCGCGCTTTTGCATTTGAGAAGACAGGAGCATTCTCTGCAACCATCATTCGCTGATCTCACTCATGCTAAGATGATCGTGCTGGATTTTGAAAATGGTCATATCGGATGCTCCAAACATTTTTGCGAGTTATTTCATCTTTAGTGGAGCATAATCGATGTCATTTGTCTCGACTTTTTCGATAAGTTCTGGCGTGGCCACCTCGCTGCTCGGCCTCTGGTAGTCTTCAAGTGATTTTCGCCTTGTTTAAATAAAATGTGTCAACGGTAATCATGATTTTTCTCCGCACAAGAATCGCCGTAAGTCAAAAGGAACTCATTAATTATTATTTCAATGGAATTTTTGCTTGGTAAGGCACTTCGTAGCGGTACAACAATCCTTTCGATATTTTCCATATTTTACTTTTCCCGCTCGATTATGTTGCTTGGTTGATGATAGCTCAAATACCACTTGTCTAATAACAATGAAATCTCGAACTTATACTAATTATGAGTTGCCGAACACATTACAATGGGAAAGATCTCCCCCCTATAATCCCCTCATTCCACGTGCATAAAAACGCTCCTTCGTACATTTCCTTTTTTAAAATTCTATTTATTGCTTCCTTTTATTTCAGCTTCGCCAACAAAGAGTGGGAACAAAGCGTATTTTTACAATGAATTTGCCACTTACGCCCTCCTAGTCTTTTCCGTTTGCATTTACATGATCTATTAAATTTTTATGTTTAGTCAATTGTGCATTATTATGCTTTGCATTTGCCATTGCAGTTTCTCTTCTCGGAAGTTAGTATTTTTATTGGAAAAAAAATCTCATGTTTTCATGCAATTGACCTCAGTGGCTCATTGGCAAACGATGAAGAAATTGATGGGATGGTGCGGGAGGTAACAGAATAAAATTATTTCTTTTGCTTTATCGTTATTATTGTTATAAGCCACCACTTGCCGGGAAAGCTGTTCAGCGGCTGTTATTTTCATTGAAAAGTTCTTCGAAATAAAACTACATTTTTTAATCAGTTCTCTGAGGCTGTTAAAGGGCAATAAATAAGTGGATGGTGAAAATTATCAGTGCTTCCACAGCGACATTGGATCAGTGCTGACTGATCATGCTCTGACTAGTTGTCATCGGAAAGACCTAGCAGAACTCTTTTTAAGGCTTTTTTCGATTTTTTTAAGTGTATACAGCTGCTGGCTTACGACGATGATATCAACGACTTTAAACTAAAACACCGCACTCTGAGTGCTACTTTCCCTAAACCGGATAAGGCAGCCAAACATATGGTGCTGGTGGTGAACGAGGGCCAGACGAAATATCTTCTGTCATCAAACAAACAATCGCAGATAATTTTGTCTAACTAGAAACCAACACCAACAGCAACAACAATATTAGCCTGGAAATCCAATGCAGAAACACTCTTGCTAAGAGCTGTCAATTACTTAGAGTATGCAATTGAAATGGTAAGTCCCTCTCCACAAACTAAACCCTAAAGATCCCTCATCTTTCCCATCTTGCTATGTGGTAGTTAGACACGGACGATGTCAACTTCTCATGGGTCGGCGTGAGTACTTTCCATGCCCTCTGTTAAAAAAGAATTATGCGCTGTATTCAGCACCTTATTTATTGTATTTATCGTCGGTTAATGTAAACTTACTGTTAACATTAACATGTTTTTAACATTTCACAAAAACTGTTAAATTTAAAATCGTTGCATATTTATAGGCGCAGTTACTGTAACAGCTCGTATTTAAATTTTTACAGAAGCTATTGATGAATAAGTTAAAAAGCATGCTAAATGAGAAAAAAAAGTCTCACCAATTTGTACAACTTAATATAAAAGTATTAAACTAAATATTGTGAATACTGGTTATGAAAGGAAAATTAAAGACTTCTGCAAAGTGTCATGCCTTGTGAGGGTGATTTTTATATAAATCAGACAATAGACAAGATAGAAAAATTCGAAGTTTCATTGAAAAATCGACATTTGATCCTATTTTTAGGTCCAATAAATTATTTCACTCGTTTGAGTGAGTTTTTTTATTTCATAAATTTGGTGCGAACTGACTGAAGCCGAAATACGGCAGACTGGTCGAGGAAAGCTATCACTGCGGTCATTGGTAAGAGATGAGGCATAAAACCGTCTATTGCTCATGGAATTTATTCGGTGGTAGTCAGATTCATTATATTCTACGGGGTCACTGTCGGGTGGCCAGCAGGAACAAACAGGAGTGCAGCGGTCGGCAACTAGTCTCAATGTGTCATCCCACTTCACTGTTTCTAAAGTCTCTGTTCAACAAAGAGAAAAATACAAATTCTCTGGATCAGAATGAAAT